ACAAACTCATCCTAGGAAAGTGCTCAGACCTCAATACTGAATGTCATTTTCAAAGTATTCCCCTTGGGAGTCTGTTACTGACACCAGAACTGGTCCACCCTTCAAAGCAATTTTGGAACTCTTTCTCTGTAGTGGCCATCAGAGCAGTGACTGTATTACCCTTGATGACCTGTATGTCATCAAAATGTCTTCCTTTCAATATTTTCTTTATCACTGCATAAAGGAATGAGTCACTGGGGGACAAATCAGGTGAGTGGAGGGGGGTGTTCTAATACAGTTATTTGTTTATTGACTAAAAGCTCCATCGCAGACAGTGCCGTGTGAGCTCTTTCCTATTGTTCATCAGTGGGCTCCATCAGGACCATTTTTGCACATGCTTTTCTCATGCCAAGATTTTAGCTAAGATTTTCCTGTTTCTCTATTGATATTTACTTGGTCTGCTATGCTTCTCACAGCCAGCCAGTGATTTTGACACACAATTTAATGAATTTTTGCAATGTTTTTGTCAGTGCTACTCATTGCCAGCCTCCCTGACTGCTCTTCATCAGTGATGCTTTCTCTTTCCTCAGGAAAATGTTTAACCCATTTGTACACTGCTGTTTTCCTCATGGCGTTATCCCCATAATCTCGGACAAACCTATCCCTGATATGTTTCACTTCCACTCTTGCCAAATGTAACAAGAAATTTAATGTTTGTTCATTTCTCTAATTCAGGCTCCATCTGACATTCTTGCAGTGGCATACAAAAACACGCAACAACAATAATGAATGCCACTCAGCAGGACACTGCCACACATACACAAACACCGGTATAAGATACTGATATTCTAAGGTTATAAAACCTTACCTAGCTCCTTCTACAGTGCCACCAATATAAACACACAATGGCAGTTTTGCCAACCTAACTGTCAGACCTCATCTAAATTAGAAATAAGCAAGATAGCAAAAGATCAAATTTAGTAAACATATCAGATAACATGATAAAGCTGTTTTGGAGTTTTTTTGAGCTAGATTTATAATCCCCTTGCAGCACGGATCAAAAATGGTGGATTAAAAATAAATTTCCACAATTTAAACCTTAATCGTTTTATTAGAAATATTTTTGGAAAGTGATTAATATTTGTTTTTAGATATGTTAAAACTCAGTGATATCATTTATAGCAATTCTTGCAGCATTTTAGAAAGCATGGAAAGCACGGTCATGTGATGTTTGGGGAAAGTTTGAATTTTCTACCCCATTTTCAGACCATGTTGCCAAACTCAAAGAACTCCAAATATTACTAAACCTCCAAGTTCAGACATCGCACCATTGAGCTGGTGGATGTCACTTACGTGTCTGAATTCATTAAAGACTATTGAAATGATAAGCTAGGATTATACATCGTCTGCAGATGAAGATGGCTATTTATCTAGATGTGTTTGAGACTTGGCTTGAGAATAGAAAATCAAGCACACTCTTGCCTTACATTTCTAGTCAATAAATAAGGAGGAGGCAATAACCACAGGATCTTTTTAAAAAAATCTCGCCTTATTTCTGACTGCTCATTAACCCAAGCTAGGCTTTTAATGTTTCATAAATGAACACAAGTAATCTAGGTGGTGCTAGCTATTTATGATTAAGTATACAATGCTTAAATCTTCTTGCTTTGTGGAAATTATGTGCGTTTGTGACTAAAATAGTCAACCATGTAAGCTTCATCTTTTAGTTCAATAGAAAAATATAAATGACATTGGTGGTTGAATTACTACCAAAATGGCAAAGACATTCCACAGACATATATCATTTACCAGTTGAATTGGAGATGATTCACCTTTCAGTGACTTCACAGGTGTTAACATGGCCAAGTAAAATAGGGAAATCATCTTCTATTCATTTTTTCCCCAAGGCAAGTTTTCAGTAAAATTATTCAGGAAAAATATCAAAATATATAGGTCCATAGCATGTCTGTTGGAACAATGAATTAGCATCAATATCTGAGATGTGGACTACGTGATGTATATTTTGTCCAAAATCACCAAATTTAACTCAACCTAAATAAATCAAAGAAGGAAGGAATTCTAAGTCAGGAGTTCATGCAGTACTGAATCACTCAGAGAAAACCTGATGGCCCAGTGGTGGTCAAATACCATGGATTGAAGAAGTAAGAGAGAAATCTACTCATGAGTGGTCTAGACACAATAGACACATGGCTGTGAAAGTCAGGCAGTTGCCTCGCAAGGAGGTCCCCCTAAGATATCCATCCATGGCTTGTGTGTAGGCATACGTGAGTGGCCATGGAGAAGAACAGCCTGTTACTGGCCTTCTAAGAGCTCACCCCTGGTTTTGCCACTGCCCAAGCTTCTGACTACATCAAATGGCCTGCCTCAGGTTCGTAGTGCCCTCTGTTCTAAATCAGTGTCAGGACTGATCTTTTATTTTTCACTTTTAAAGAAATTTTCATGTGAGGGTACACATGATTAAGTTACATTGTTTGCATTTGTAAGGTAAAATCAGAGTTGCAGTTGTTTCCAAAATATGCTTAAAACGTACCCATGCTTTGTTCTCTGTGGGGCTCTTTTCAATATATTACTTTTCTTTAAAAAGAAAGCTCTTCATAAAGCTGCTGGTTATCATCGTTCTTACTTCTGCAGTTAATATTCACTCACCACATATTTTCTTTTCATACGTGGAGAAACAAAGAAACTAAAGACCATCACTCTCTGTAAGTCTGCAGTTTCAAGGCAAGGAGACCTAAATGAGTAAATGGATAGTGGAATGGGGCCAGATCCTACATTTCAATACAGGACACTTAAGGAAAGCAGTGGAAGATTGTACTTCACACATGTAGCTCTTTTGCTAAGAGATAAAGGTGGTATTTTAAGAAAATACTGTATGGGATCTATTAGAACAGAAAAGAAAAAATACATGTTACAGAGGGCTGAAGGTGACACCAAAAATCTAAAAAGTAATATTTTTGCACCACCTTAGAATTCACAGTTTTGACACACACCTGGTTTAATCCTCACAATAACCTGTGGGGTAGATACAAAGAATGATATTATGTTCATTTTACAGATGAAAAAACCCGAGCCTGTTTCCACATTAAATGGGCTCAACATCACCCTGCTGTGAGTAGCAGAGCCAGTATTCCCACCTGTTTTCACTAGACTCCAGTCCCATTTTTCATAACATGACTGTATCTTGGATAAACATCCTGGCAGGAGTAGACAGTTAGGGAAAACTTAGAGGAACTGTGAAATAAGAAGTGACAGAACTTGGCAATTCATTTGGTATATCAGGTAAAGAAACAGAAGAAGGAAAAGGTGTCTCTAGGTTTCTAAAACCTGGGAGAAGAAAATGGTGGAATTAATAACATCAGCAGCTAATATTCACAACATCCAAAGCTATGTGCCAAATGCTTTGCCATATTCCCTCATTAAGTCCTTACAGTTGTTTGGGGAGTTTTGAGGTAAGATATTGTAATTATTATTTATCCCATTTCACAAAGGATGTAGATCAAAGTTGTTTTTCCTTTTAGAAAAGAAAGAAAATCTTCTCTCCAAGATGAGGTTAAGCTCAACTTGGACGCATGGGCCTGTGGTGACAGTACTAGTGGCCTGAGTCCCAGAGCAGGGGTTTGGTCTTCTTGTGTGAACATACTGCCTTGTGAGCCATGAAATAACCAAGCTGGACCCTGGTGGTTTTGACATTTCCAAATCAAGCACCATCAAACTGTTTGTTTAATGTCTCCTAGGTACTTGGCCTGTCATTGAAATAGGCTACACTAAGTGGATGGTTTTGCTTAGCCCTAGCGTTTAAGGTGGATGGCCAGGTAATTAAGAGACGTAGATAAGAATGCTTTCCTACTTAGTAATTACTTGAAAATGAAAGTATTACATATATATCCCTGAAACTATGTATATACTCATCAAATGACTATTAGTAGAAATGTGCATTTTGTCAAGTATTGTTTAGATTAAAGTTCTTAAATCCAATTGCATTCCTTCTTGATACTTAGTACTTTTAATTAATGATTATCAGTCACTGCCCAGTGTAAGCCCAGCTCCTGAACCTCTGTTGCTATCCAGGGTTTGTCTGGAGACCATGGTCATCCATGTCTCCCTCTCCCCTTCCAACTGCTCTCTAACCTCATTTAAAACTACTTGAAAAAGACCGTTCCCCAATTTCCTGCTTCCTCTTTCTCTCTTGTTAAGTAGAAAGAGGAAAATCAATTTACATATAAAGTGAATAGTGGCCAGGTGTGGTGGCTCACATCTGTAATCCTAGCACTCTGGGAGTTGGTGGATCACCTAAGCCAGGAGTTCCAGATCTGCTTGAGCAAGAGCGAGAGACCCCATCTCTACTAAAAACAGAAAAACTAGCCAGGTCTTGTGGTGGGTGCCTGTAGTCTTAGCTACTCAGAAGGCTGAGACAAGAGGATCACTTGAGCCCAAGAATTTGAGGTTGCTGTGAGCAACCTGATGCCAAGGTACCCTACCCAGGGCAACAGAGTGACATTCTGTCTCAAAAATGCATCCATCCATACATACATACATATGTACCTAAATGGATAAAGTGAATAGTATATGAAGAAAATCCCAAACCCCTTTCCAAGAAGCACTTTCTCTTACAGTTCATTTCTAGAAGCTCCAAACCGTCTCTCTAGCTATCCACCTGCTGATTATTTATTCACTCAGCTGCATACAGCAATCCCATAGCAACCATAGAGTTCATGGATAGAGTCTTATCTCTTCTCTGATACCACGTATTTGTAGGTAGTCAGCCTTCTTTTAGGAGATTTGAAGTTATATAAACAAGAAGTGCCAGAATTTCATTCTTTTTGAAAATAAATTTAAATAAATCATGAGTTTTCACAGGGCTGCAAAGTGATTTCTTCCTAAGGGCCCTTCACTCAGAGGCTGCTTTGAAGACATTGCTGGTAGGGAAGCTTTGATCTTTATAGTTCATGGGCCTCAGGACAAAGGGCCCTGGCTATGTCTTTCTGCCTGATCCCTTCTAGGATTGTGAAGATGTCCAGTCCCAATCTGAACATTGTGACCTTAATGGGCAGCTGTCTGACTTACAGCAGTGCTTACCTCTTTGGGATTCAAGATGTTGTAATGGGGAGCTCAATGGAAACTCTCATTCAGGTAGGTAAAGTTTTCAAATTTAGTTTTGAATGTAGTATTAAAGTTTTGATGATTTTTTGTAAAGTGTCTCATTGAAGTTATAATTAAGCCAGCTGCTCCTGTGGGTAGGGGTTACCTTCATCTTTTGTAAGGGGACTTTTAGAAGCAATCCCTGGAACCCTTAGAAAGGCCAACCTTCCCCCATGCCTTCTTGTGGGACTGAGGCTTTGCAGAATACAGTGTGTGGGGAACCAACAAAGCTTCCTCTCTTGTGACTCTTGCTTCTGTCCCCTTCACCTGTAGATAAGACTGTCCATGCTATGCATTGGGACCTCCCTTGTGTTTGGCCCCATTCTGGGGAAGAGCTGGCGACTCTACAAGGTGTTTACCCAGAGGGTCCCGGACAAGAGAGTGGTGAGTAGATGGCAAGTACACAATGCTTGGCTGCAGATGGCCTCTCCACTATTGATTAAAAGCTAGAGAAGTTTGTGTGGATTTCTGGGTCCTGCTCCTTTTAGGACATCTGAAGTTCTTATTTGTCACTTGAATGCTTAGAGTTGGGTGGCCTCATAAAGCCACAGGCCTGGAGGGCTGAGGGTCAGCACTGTTGGAGGACAGGTCTTTGAACCTGGGCCTTGTGTATATGGGTAAGTGAGCTGGTCAATACCTGGTGCTGGGGTGAGGGGGAACAAGATGACCAGAGAGACTTGCTTGGCACAGTGGTAAGCTGGAAGTGGAGAGAGGGAAAGTGATCACAGAGAAGCTATAGCAAGTAAGCAGAGTTATTTCCCTCCCTGGAACCCAATTCTTTTGTCTGAAGAAGGAAGTTCTCTGTACTGAGAAGGGTATGCCTAGAGCAGTGAGCAAGGAAGAGCACACTCATTTAGCAGATATTATAGAATCAGCCCTAGAACTTCTTTGGCCACCAGATCACCTACATGTATCTGATATCAGGCATCAATTTAGCTACATTCCCTCATTTTATCAGGTTCCCTTATAAGACTGACCAAACCTCCATGCCTGACCATCAGCATCTTTGGCTGCGGGCCCAGACCTAATCTATCAATCAGTTGGTGTTTCTCTGGAATTATGGGATTGGTTTTTTTTACCAAATGTTATTGAATCATGGGAAATAATTACCCAAAGCTCAGCTGAGTAACTGTACATATGAAGATGATTGTGTAAAAGGACAAAAAAATTTATCCATCCCTCTAGACTAGAACACTGATTCATTTTTTAAAAATAACTGTTTTTGAGATATAATTGACGTGGTGAACTGTACATATTTAAAGTCTATGATTTAATAAATTTTGGCATGCCTACACACCCATGAAACGCGGTGTGTGAAGAACATACACGCCATCCCCCAAAGCTCCCTCGGGTCCCTCTGTTATCTTCCTCTTCAGTCCAATCTTTATATCCCCATTCCTGTCCTCAGGAAATCAGTGATTTGCTTTTTGTCACTATACATTAGTTTGTATTTTCCAGAATTCATGTAATTTACGTAAATGGAATAATACAGTGTGTACTCTTTTTTTGGTCTGACTTATTTTACTCACTGAATTATTTTATGAATATTATAATTCTTCTTCCTTGCTGTGTGCACCAGTAGTTCTTTTTTTGCTAGTGCTGAGTAGTACCCCAGGGTGTGCATGTACATTTGCTTGTCTGTTCAACCTGTTGATGGATGTTTAGGTTGTTTCCAGTTTGAGGCTATTAAAAATAAAGTTTCTGTGAACATTCATGTACAAGTCTTTGTATAGACTTGTGCTCTCATTTCTCCTGGATAAAAACCTAAGAGTACAATGGTGGGACCATATGGTAAGTATATACTTAACTTTTTAAGAACCTGCCTAACTGCTTTCCAAAGTGGTTGTACCACCCTACATTCCCACTACCAGTGTATGAGGATTCATTTCCTGCACATCTTTGCCAGCATTTGATTTGGTCAGTCTTTTGCACTTTACCAAGTCTAGTATTACGTGAAGTAGTATGTATCCCTTGTGGTTTTAACTGGTGCTTCCCTAATGCAATGTTAAGCATCTTTTCTCATGCTTATTTGCTAATCCATATGTTTTCTCTGATGAAGTGACCGCTCAAATCTTTCACCCATCTTTTTAAAATTGGATTTTTATTTTTTTATTATTGAGTGTCCAGAGATTTTGTTTAACATTTTGGACATGAGCCCTTTATCAGATATATGATTTTCAAAGATTTTTTTCCAGTTTATCTTTTCTTTTCATTTGCTTAAGTATCTTTCAGAAAGAAGACATTTCTAATTTTGATGAAGTCTAATTTACCAATTTGTTCTGTTATGAATCATGATTCTTTGTTATTATTATATTTTTGAAATTAATATTAAAGTATATGATTTAGTAAATTTTGGCATGCATACACACCCATGAAATGTGGTGTGTGAAGAACGTACACACTATCCCCCAAAGTTTCCTCAGGTCCCTCTCCTGTCCAATCTTTATATCCCCACAGGAAATCCTGTGTTAACTTCTAAAAATTTAGAGTTTTAGTTTACACATTTAAGCCTATGATCAATTTTGAATTAATTTTAGAATATGGTGGAATGCATTGATTGCATTTTTTTAACAAATGGGCATTTGATTGTTACAGTATTATTTGTCGAAAATACTGTCCTTTGCTCACTGAATTACCTTTGTATCTATGTTGAAAATTAGTCGTCCATAGATGTGTGAATCTCTTTCTGAATTCTCCACTCTATCTTACTGATAAGAAAGACTTCTCAGACTTTTCATCAGAAACAAGGCCAACTGAGAAGACAATGCAGGAACATCTTCCAAGTACTGAAAGAAAAATAAGAAACCCCAATCTAGAATTCTATAACCAGCAATACTGGTTACTGTCTTACTGATGTGTTTGTCTATCTTGACACCAATATCATGTTAGCTTGACTACTGTAGCTTTTTATTACATCTTGAAATCAATGTGTATTCTCTAGCTTTCTTCTTCTCTTTCAATGTTGTTTGGCAATTTAGGTCCTTTGAGTTTCCATGTGATTTTTAAAATCAGTTTTCTAATTTCTACAAAAACTCTTTTGGGATTGTGTTGAATCTGTGTATCAAATTGTGCTAAATTAACTTCTTACCAATGTTCTGTCTTTTGACCCATAAACATATTTATATTGGTTTTATTTAATTTCTCTCAGCATTTTTTTTGTACTTTTCAATATTAGTCTTTCATATCTTTTATCAAATTTATATTTATATTTATACTTATATCTAAGTATTTTGTATTTTATGCTAGTGAACATGTTATTTTTTAAATTTCATTTTCCAATTGTGTGTTGCTAATATATAGAAATGTAATTGATTTTTGTATGCTGGTCTTCTATGCTGCAACCTTGCTAAACTACATATTAGTTATAGTAGCTATTTTGTAGATTTAATCAGATTTTCATATGATCACATAATCTGTGAATAAAGATAGTTTCTTTCCATTTTCTTGTCTAATGGTGCTAGGTAGAAATAATGGTATAATCATGAATAGAAGTAGTGTTAGTTTTCTATTTTGCTTAGAGTTTTTCATCAAGAATTAATGTTGGGTTTTGTCAAATGCTGTTTATTGAGATAATCATATGGTTTTTCTCTTTTAGTTTATTGACATGGCAAAGTATGTTAAATGATTTTAGGATATCAAACCAACTTTGCATTCCTAGAATAAACTCTACTTGGTCGTGATGTATTTATCCTATTCATGTATTCTTGTATTCATTTTTGTAAAATTTTTACTTGAAATTTGTATACTTATGTTCTTTTTTTTTTCTTTTTTTTTTTTT